CGATTGAATGCTAGTGATGTAGTAGTGAGTTCATCCAATTTAGTTTCCCTCCATTTTAAGATCTGCATCATTTTGAAGTCTTTCAATGTTTGGCTTTCATCTATGTTCATAGCATTCCCTAGTGTTGATTGTCAAAGAAGTTACCTCTGTGAGATTTTTCTGTCAGTTATCTCTTTGCTCATTAAAAACACCGAATGGAAATCCACCAACACCACCGCTTCTCCATCAGTCTATCCCTCTTAACGATACGTTTTGAAAAGGTAAATTTCGCCGCCGTATTGTCAAAGTTGTTTAGCTGCTATGTATGTGTGTCTGTTACTTTTAAATATTAACACCTGTTGACGTTGTGGAGATTTGTGTTTCAGTGTGGTCGTTCTGGTATGCTCCCTATGTTAGCTAGTTTTTATTCTGATAATGTAACGTGCATGTGAATGTTTCCTTTCAAGTAGTGGTGGTGTTGGTGTTGTGTTTTCGACAGTTACAAAGTGAAACTAGTGGTTAATTGTTTAGAGCGTGAGAGCTGATATGAATGGAGACGATGCAGAGGTGGTTCATACAGAGCCGAAGACAACTTCCTCCGTAGGAAGTGGCGTTAGTGATCACGGACATGGTGGATCAGGACCGGTGAGGAATCTTGTGGAGATAGATTCAGTGGAGGTGCGGTCGGGAGATCCATGTTGCGGCGACTCGTGGTGCACATAGCGACACATGAGGCGTTCGCACAAGGATCAGTCGAGTAAACGTGGAGTTGCCACTACGGAGTACACTCAGGCAAGTCGAGTTAGACGGAAAAGTACTAGCTAAACGCTACGCCTGGCCGCAACGTGGATCTCTTGACCGGACCTCCAAATGTTTGGCATAACTATGAGCATGCGACGAAGACTCCTGCGCAAAACTGAAGCCATTTTGGCCAATATTACCATTGCCTAAGTGAAATCCTGAATATTCTCGGAGCAGTATGATAACTAACCGGCCCTTAGCTCGATTAAGATTCAAGTTGATATTTCATGTTTACTGGATTGTTTATTTTAGCAGTATCTTTGCAGTTTGACTTTGGTGAGGTGATGGTATATCAGGCGATTCATACAATTGAATTTGTTCTTGGATGTGTTTCCCACACGGCATCATATCTTCGACTCTGGGCTCTTTCTCTGGCTCATGCTCGTGAGTGAATTTTGTATGTTTTTTGTGACCTCTCTAATTGTTGGAGAATCCTGCCTGTCTGTCTGACTATCTAATCGTGAAGCACGAGCTGTTGTACTGTCTTTTTACATGATACAGCAGTATCTCAGGAACGCTAAGTTGGGGCAAAAGTTTGACCCGAGGAGAAACTCGAACCCTCACCTTGTTTTTCTCGGAGAGTTCTTGGAAAACCATTATCAGTTACGCTAGCAAGGGAACTTGAGCAAGTGACAGCGTCTTAGTCAGTTGCTCAAGTGGAACGACTGGTTATTCGAGTCGTGAAGTGTATGAGCGTCCTCTTAGGTTACTATTGTCGAACTGCTTACAGTCACAGAAAGCCGTGATTTCAGAGCTATCGGATGTCTTATGGACAATGGTGTTCCGTCATGCCTTCCGCCTTGACGGCTACTATGGAGCGGTGGCAACCTACGTGCTTTTCTTCGTTTTCGGCTCCTTGTCGATATTCATTCTAGTACTGATGGAAGGCTTGTCAGCGTTTCTGCACGCACTTCGTCTTCACTGGTATGTTTCCGTTCTCATTATAATGAAGCTTAGACTATTATTACCAAAACAAATTATCAAAAAAAGTCTGTTCAAGTTTGGCCAGTAGGAGTTGTTCAGTGCCCTAATCACGAATATGACATCGGTTCAAAGGGCGCCAGTTCGGAGCCACCTACCTTTTTAACCGAAATGGGTCTGAACATTTTCATTATCAGAGTACTAAATAACCCTGAAGACGAAGTTCCTAGCTTCCGAGGTAGTAATGGTGGTAGTCCTAGCCTTAGTTCGTTTCAGTACTTGTTTATACTGCAATCGATTTTTCTTTATAGGGTGGAGTTCCAGTCGAAATTCTATGGAGGATTGGGTCATGCGTTCACTCCATTCTCCTTTGAGAAAATCCTTGAGGAGGAAAGAGAAGCTGAAGAAACTCTGTAGTGGTTTCTTCTCTGAGTTGGAACCAACGTATCAATCTTTTCCGCCATATGTGTCGTGTATGTGTCGTTCTCATTGCGTCTGTGCTTTCCTATGATACTTGGTCATGGCTGATTTTAAAAAATAGAAAATTATCTATGAATAACTTTTGCTGTTTTAATGGAAGTACATTTTCAATGTGTTAGCATTGCTACCTATTTATTTACTTATTTATTGATTAAACTGTACCTATCGGTGAGCAATTAGAGGTGTGAAATGTCGGCTCTGACTAGAAAAGCATTTATTTCTATTATCCATTAAACTGCTGATAACTTAGTAAACTTTTGACAGCTGATAGCTGCTGGCTGATAGCTGGATCCCTTCGGCTCTGACGGAAGTTACGGTAGAGGGAGCGCAAAAGATGTCGAGACAGATCAGCTGTGCTACAGTCCTTGATCTCTTCACAGTTTCCTCTACTGGACTACTGTCACTGTTTTAGAAGCGAACAAAAGAAAGAAAAAAAAAAGCAAAAAAAAAAAAATTACCCGCGCCCGCCTTCAAAAACTAATCACATCAAAACAACTCCAAATCATTTACTTGGTGATCTTTCGCGGCTCCTTGGGCATATGCGGGACGAGCGCCAGCAAAGTAGGCCTCAATGAACAGAGGTAAAGTAGCGATGGCCCAGCTTTCCAAGCCCGAGCCAGTAGCGCTGTGGGCAAGCGCTTGAGTTGTTCGCCGCGTTCCCGTCGTGATTCCAATCTTTCGGCGCTACCGGCGTCAAGGCTCTGCGAGTTCAATTTTCCTTATTGCCTCGCTTGGCGGGCATTCCGTGACCAAGGTTCGAAGGCAATGGCCTAGCAACCATGGAATGAGAGCATGTTACGGAGCGCGTCTGGTCGTACTTGCCAGGAAAAGATGATCGGCGATGAGCTTAATCGCGCAAGCCCAAGCTCAATCCGGCTGTCGCTGCTCAGAAAACAGCATCAACTTTGCCCGGTCGCGTTTGACTCAAAAATCCTCGACTCAGCCTCGGCTGTTCTCTTGCGCAAAAGTGAGGCCCCTAAATCCAGTCGCGCGTCCAGTTCGCGGTTTCCCCGTCCCTCAGGCCCGCTCCGTTGGGGTTTGCTCTCCTCCGCAGCATCGATGTGAAGTTAGTCCTTATGGGACGTCCTTAAGCGCATAAAAAAAACGTCCGAAAAAAACTGCGAGCTGTTAGTGGTATGGTGTGCGCATTCCTGGTCTCGGTGTCGCCTGTAATCTGCATAGTATTCACGTAGTTCCTTCAATTTCGAATTCTGTGGGCTATTTTGCAAGAATATGTGAGCTTTAGTCAATCAATTCTAATTTAGTGTCACTGTGTGCATTTATGGTATTGTGCTTGTGTGGAATAAACCCTGCTAGTTGTATAGTGGCTCTACTGTTTTGACAAGTTTGATCCACAATACTGAGGAAGGATTTACAGTGTCATCAGTCTACTGTTTTGACAAGTTTGATCCACAATATTGAGGAAGATTTCCATTTTCATCAAAGTCACTGTAACAATAGTCTTTTATTGTAGGGAATAATGACGCGACATCTTTCCCCACTCGACTGCCTGCAGAATTTTGGTTAGTGTTGACTCTTTTCGTCCGTTGGCAGCTACCTAATTCCTACTAGGAACACAAATGGGTTATAACTCCTGTTAACTGGATATCAGCAGAGATTTACGCAAAATTGTGGGTGTTGGACAGGATGAGATGGCTTAGGATAGAAAGGAATTTTCCATGTGATACAAGGATGTACGAAATATTCGATAAGTCGTTAAAATGTGAAATATATGTGATCTGCAGTCCACTTGGGATCGTGCTGTCGGGTTTTCAAGCATCTCCTTCTCAACCAGGACATCTAAGAAGACCAGTATAGAAGAAACTCACTTTCGACAAAGCCATTCGGCGTGAGCCTTCCACTCAGAGACGCTTGACTAAGACTCCGTTGGAAATAAATAGCGTCATGCGATAGAATGATGTCGATTTGCGTATGCCTTTGTCTGTTAATAACGTGTGGCTAAAAGTATTTACAAATGTAGCCCATTGCTTAGGCTGCGCTCATGCTCTGCGGCATCGTCCAACGGCGACCATAAACGTTTCCAGCGACATGCAGCGTCTACCAGCGCCAACAGCTTCCGCCACCGACAATGTTTCCCACTGAAAGACGCTAGATTGATAACCATACTCTCCTAGTCCCTCGAGACGCTGATGGTCGCTGGCAGACGCTGCCGTTCGCTAGATCAATATCTATACTTTCCTAATCACTGACGCGGACGAACGCTCAGAACGCTGATGGTCGCTGGTGGTCGCTACCGCAAAGTATGAACGCAGCCTTAGAAAGAGAATTTGTTGTTGAGGTCGTTAAAAAATAGGCAACTGTTTTTTCTGACTTGTATACAAGCGTACGAATAAATCATGGGGGGTGTGGCAGATATTCTCCGCTTTAATACAGTTTCTTGATACTTCGCAGTCACGCTACCTGAAAGGCAAAGCTTATCACAGCATGTAAGGGCTAGAGCGGTGTCTCCTTCAATCGGTGTTTCTCAGTGCAGGCGCTACACTTTGTGTCAGTAAATGCATCACCTGGATTACCCCGTCCTGTGTGATTGGGAAGCCTGGAAATAGCGCTTACATGCTCAGTTCCGAAAGAATTCTGCGAGGTTGTGAACGAGCTCGCAGCTGAAAAAACTGGGCCCACATGGCCGTCAGGAAAGCAGGATACGCCTCGATGTTTCCTATAACTCCAACTAAGCAATTCACAATCACGTAGCTCGCAACAGACTATGCGACAAACTATACACCTTAGCCTAAGTTAATTACTTAAGACAAGTAGAAGATAACTCTTATTAGTAGCGTCGTCGCGGTCGCGGCGTATCATGCCGGCCCGATGCGCCACTGAATTCTCAAAATCGCACTCTGTTCTGTCGGCTGCAACGTGAATTGAAGCGGAGACAAGATTCTATAACGTTCGACATAGAATTTTTCCTCTCTTCAACGCTCAGCTTCGAGCAGCCAGACAGCAGAACTCGTCTGTTGTGTGCGTCGTCGCTCGCCACGCCCACCAGCGCGGCATATTACGATTATCTTGTCACATACCCGCCCCTTCAATGAGCGTATGGCTCAGCATTGAAGGGGTGCAACCTGTTCGATGAAGGATCTTGGTAACGCGCTTCGAATTCTTCATGACGGGCTAAGTTGTGGAAGGGATACATCTCTCTGATAGGCCTACATTTTATCTTTCAAGAGATACCAGTAACGCTCACGCTAGTCGCTATGACATCTCAATGTGGCCATTTGCGCGGTTTCCGTTCAAGATATTTTCGGTATAATCTGAGATCATCACTGTGGGTTACTTTTCAAGAGAGCAATGTGTGCATATGGTTGAATGGCGCCGTCGAGGCTGAGCGACCAATTTGGTCTCGTATATGGAATTGTTCTCAGAAACGATTCTGCACCGACGGTGGAGCCAACAGAGTTGTTAACAGGTATAGTTGCTCTTCATGTAGTTATTACTGAATACTCAAGTGTTTCTGCAGAACTCCAGGATTAAAGCGGCCTGATGTCGTCGTTGGAGACATGGATTCCATTTTAGAAGATGTGGCTAAAGCACTAAGGCCGACAACACGGATGATTCACGCGCCAGACCAGGACAAAACAGATCTAACCAAATGTCTCGAATTTGTGGCAGAGGACTTTAAACAAGGCATGCAGTTAGGTTATTATCAGCTCATTCCTTATCAGTTTTAGTTGGCGTCCCTATTGGACTTTACTGATTTCCTATCTGCTTTAGGCTTCACGTATCGTTCTGCTGGGAGGGACAGCAGGTCGTTTCGATCACGTTTTGGCCGCCATAAACTCACTATATTACTCAACAAACCAGCTTAATCTTGAAGTTTACTGTCTCGATAGTGAGAATCTTACATTTGTTCTTGACGAGGTATGCATTATTAGCTCCTTTTTGGCTTGATCATTAGCTTTGATTCGAATTTTATGTACATATACTCAAGATCGCTGCAGATGAAGGGGCGTGTCAGACAGTCCGCTGCGGATTGAAGGGGCGTGCCGGGAAGTATGAGCATGCCAAGGCGCCAAACCCGTTCTCCGCCAGTTGTTGAAGCGGGTATGCGACAACAGCTGCTGGAAAACGAGTGACACGGCCGATATGCTACAGGCACGTCACTTGCTCGCTTGAACAACGGTGAAGAAGGTTTTCTGCACCGTGCCAAACACATCCCGTCTGACACGCCCCTTCCTCCTCAGCGAAGTAGACTATAGATGAGCACTTTTTCATTTGTTTAGGGTGAATATGTCGTTAACATCAATCGTCGACTGGTCACAGGAACTTGTGGTGTGGTACCGTTCTGCCAAAAACCGACAGTTGTAACAATGAGCGGATTTCGTTGGAATCTTGGTTTGTAGAGACTATCTTCAGAAAGATGTGATGTTTTGTTTCCTTTCTCTCTTCATTCATTGGCAAACTCGTTCTTCACATGGCATTGCCAAAGTTCTGTGCGAATTGGCGAATTAGTAATATAGGTGGTAATGTAGGTGAAGGCACTGTTTACTACAAATGCGGTCCTTTGGTTGAATTCTTGCATTCTAGTTCGCTAGCTTTTACAGTGGTGAGACAGCAAGCTCTTGTAAAGTTACGAAGAGATATAAGCCGTTATGAATGTGTAAGGGTTCAAAAGGTGTGGTCACATAGCCTCTCTCTTTACCATAAGTTACGATTGTTTCGAAGGTTTTTCTGAAAGCCGATTGGAACAGCAGGTCTTGCTCCCTTCTTAGTGAACGCCCGACTTTTATGAGTCAAGTTATTAACGTGCTACTGCCTTTGTCAGTCGGAGTAGTAAACCGGGGCCAAAAAGGAACTTTAATAAAGTCCTAGAAAGGAATAAGCGCTGAATACTATTTTTTGGGGAACTGGGGTAAAAGGCTTCCAGGGCCCTTGAAGACACAACACTTCCTGTTCCTGTCCTACAACCACTACTATGAATCTGTATTGAAAGGACAACAACTTTTGAACCTGTTGAACTGAACGACCCTCAGATTTAACAGCAGCTTCTGAATGGAGCGAGGACTCGTTTATCCTAAACGAAACTCATGATTCTGCTGGTACCCCTACTCTTTTGCTATCGTCACGATGATAAAACTGTTGTCAATGTTTTTAAAGGCACGCTCCGCGTTCATTCGGTGTTCAGATGCCATGGAGCATGGACGATGTCCTACTTTCGCCTCTCAAATTACGTTAAGAAAGCGCGACCCGCTTGCAACGAAGTCGCCGCTCTGCCCTCCAGCCGCGGCAACGCCTATCTTTCATTTCTGCAGGTTTCTTAGTGGTGCGGTTGTTGCGCTACTAGCTGTCTTTTAGATGACAAGTAGAAAAAGCTGACACCAATAAGTAAAAACTCGTCTGACCAGTTCTTCCATTCAGAATCGTAGTGGCTCACTGAATGCTATGTGGACCATACAGTGATTTGCGGGGGCTAGCCGATGTATAAGTCAGTGGTCTTATTGCCCGAGATGAATCAGTTTACCGTCCCCAAAGGGTGAAAGGCTATGTTGGCTTTGGCGGGAGTCGGCTCAAGATTCGAACCTCAGGACCGCGCGAGTGGTAAGCGCGCCACTTGTCACTACACCATCTCCGCCTCTGTTTTCGAATACACATGAAATTCCAGTCTCCCGAATCAAAGCATGCGCATGGTAACAGTGATCTCATTTTTGAAACACAAACCTTTCAGATAACGCCATAACAGCCTTCGGTGGTGTGGATCAGCACGTCTAACTTCATGGAGGACGATGTTCTGCATGTGCAAACATCTGCACCCCTAATTTTTACCATGGAGCTGCAACCAAGTGCTCTTCGTTAACATTCACTGGTCAGAAGAAGAGCTTTAATACTAGTCCATGAATTTAATATAATAGGTAGTAAGAATGTCTTTGTGAGCCTAAGGGTTGCTGACATGTACGTACCTCGTTGTTTATATGAGAAGTTTTATCGTGGAATTGTTTTACGATTTGAGAATTTACTTAAGCTGTTTGATGTGCTCCATTCGAGCTCTATATATGGAACCAGAGCGATTTTTACATGCCTTTCATTGTGGTGATTCTACAAAGAAGCACTCTATCTTATACTGCAGGGTTACCGCTAGGGTTACCTTCAGGGAGTTTGTGCATTTGAAGATTCTTTCATATTGTTCCACGTATTTGTTCGCTAGTTTTTATATTCACTTACAATAAAGTGATAGAAATCGCTTGGAAAGTTTTTGATCTGTATGTGTTCATAACATGCCACTTGCTACGGCTTCATTAAGAAAATGTGTTTTGTTTTTCTTTGCTAGTAGGTTACTCAAAGAGCTTTCCGATAATGTTCTTGTGCTACGGGGTGCGGGTCAGGAGCTTCTATTTGTGGGAACACGCGGAAGCTACGCCACTCGCTCGCAGCGGCATGATGATCAGGGCACGCCCCGTCGCCGGGGAAAGTTCGGTAATACGATCCCCCTCCCCTCCCGTTACTATGCCGCTACGGGGGGATCGTTATATTTCTTAACAGCGACCGTTACCCACTCCTCCCCCTATCCTACTCACACGCTCCCAGTTTCCCAACTTTCCTGTTCGCTTTTTAGCTTTCCCCAAATTTTAGCTGTCGGCGCGGGGGGGACAGTGTGGGCACCATGTGAACACGAATCTGTCCCTCTCTCTGTCCAACTCTGTTCTGTCTGTCTGTCTCTCTCTCTCTATATCTCGGGCTCCATAAAAACGCTCCACCAAGAGATGCAGCAGGAAAATGCCTGGGGATTTCCGCAGGAAGGAATTTCGGTTGAAAGATGCCTCGCAACTAATGATTCATTCCCTCTGTGACTGGCAGTGCATTCCCCACGTACGCGGTGCTGAGTGAGACACCGTGCTGCGCAACATGGATCTCTTGATCCGCCTCCTGAAATGGATATTACTAGGTATCGGAATTAGTCTTAACACGTTGACGACGAGCCATTTTTCCCATGACTTGCGCCTGGGACGGCACATTTTTCTACATTGAAGCTTGGTAATTTCTAAATAAATGAATTACCACGACCAAAATCTATCGAGAAATACAGGAGACGAGTATACAATCTCGAATGTCTGACACAATTTAGCTCTTATTGCTCCAGTCTTCCGAAATCAGTCCATTTTTTTACAAAATTCTTCCTATAAAGACAGAATTGACTGAAAATTTGTCTCCCGGGGTGGTTCGATCTCCTAGAACAATATCGCATCCCCTCGACCGGAAAATGCTTGTTCTTGAAATAATTTTATGAAAAGTAAGTGAAACAGTCGCTCAGATTTTGAGTTATATAATAACTGTGGGACAGGCATTGGGCGACGCCGTTCCACAAGTCAAACTTTCTGTCGTCCACCATTGACGGAAATCGTCGCGTCAACTGCGTTAAGTGCGACATTGATATTTTTTGTTGAGGGGTCGGTTACCTCGTAGAAGGACTAAGTTTTCAGGCAATTTCGGGATGCATCATATTAGGACATTTCGGCGCGGGCGCTAGGCAGCTTTGTGGCAAGCGATTGATATTTGTGTTCAGGGGTCAAGCTAACCTATGAGACAAGTTTTCAACGATTTTGGTGACCTGAAGTATTTCGCCGAGCATTTTCGCGGGAAACGAATGTGATATTCGTGTTCAGGCGTTCAAGCTACCCGACGAAACAAGTTTTCAGCGCTTTTGGTGACCTAGGGTACTTTGGCGCCGGCGCCTGTGGCGCGGGCACCGGGCAGTCCGGGTCAAACCACTGTGCTGTTCGTTTCAGAATTTCAGCCTACTCCTATAGACATCTTTTGAACAAATTTGGTTGCTCGCACGTCTTTATTAGAGCAGTATGCTGTCGGACAGCATTGTCCGACACCGTCCCATGAGACAGACTGGCTGTCGCCCACCATTGTCCGACACCGTCGTCAAAACGTGTTAAAAAAGTCATTCGGCCTGCTACCTGCTAAGATGTGCGTGCCACAAAGTAGATCCCTATCTCAGAACTTGATCTGGGCTGGTGTGACTGCAACGTCGTTGTTAATTGGCAGTAGACAAGTATTCTTGGTGGGAAAGCGTGCAGGTGTGTAATAGTTTCTGGGTGATTTTCGAGTCGCCTCATTCAAGGAAATGGTTTTCAGCCTCCTCTGCTCTTGACTATGACCTCGTTGTCATCGGTGGTGGTTGGTTCTGGTGGTTTGTCTTGTTCCAAAACAGCGTAAGCTCCATGCAATCATGAGAAATGGACATGGTTTCGTCTCCACAAGCTTAGTAAAAGTTTTCAGGCGAGAATATGGAGCGCGAGTAGCTTTGGTTGATGGCGTTATGCCGAGCCCCCATGGAACGACGTGGGGTATTGGAGGAACATGTGCTAATGTGGGATGTATCCCAAAAAAGCTCATGCATCATGCTGGTCTTGTAGGAAGAGAGGTAAGAGCTTATGCGTAGGTGGTCAAAGGTATTGTTTGTGCGGTGCTACATAACCCTGAAAACCTAGAATTGGGCACTTACCTACAAAAGATCTCACATTAACAACGTGACAAGGCACGGGTGAAGTCGCAGAAGGGCCGGCGGTCTGACTGTGCCTCTCACCAGGATACCGACTCCCTTGCCCTCCCGAACTCAGCCTAAGAAGAGCGCTGACGGCAGAATCGGCGCTTACCATTACCGCCACTTGAAGAGCAGCTATTAACTTAATGGCATGAAATACGCATATCGCAGTTTTCAGAACGATGAATGCATTGTGAAGCGGGAAGTGTATAGGCGAATAGCTATCGGTGATTGTCACAGCTACTCATTAGTACTCCGAAAAGTATTTATGCAGTGGTGATCCGGCAAATAGTGGGGTTTTCACAGGACCACAGGGAGCTGCGCCGCATCCAGAAGACCTTCATATCTCGCATTCTATCGTGCGAGCGATTTGGTCGCTTTGATTAAGCTCCACCGCAAGTCGATGGATCGCTGCACTGAGCGATGATTCCGAGGATATAGCATTCTTCCTTCCCGAGTATAAGACCCCCTTAAACGTCTGTCGAGTGGGAGGGGCCGCTAGACATTCGATTAACTACCAGGCATCAAGTAATAAAACTAAGATACCAGCGGCAAGTGTGGAACAGAGCGGCTGAAATAGGAATTGTCAGCAATCAAAGAAATCTGACCTGGCCGAATATGCCCCCTCCTCACATTGAGGAATCTTCAGCTTATGACTTGCTCTGCTTCGAGACTGCTTGGGCTGTTCTTTCCAGGGATATTGTCTGGGAGCAAATGAGAGTGCTGGAGATCCACCAGATGAACCGGGCAGATAGGACGAGGAACTGCTTTGTGTTAATAGCAACCACAATGACTACGTCTGCAAACGAGCGGCGAGATTGGTTAAACAAGTAGCTTTCTGCGTTTATGTATCTCCCTTTGTGGGAATCTGAACCTGAAACGCAATGGTGTCTGTAGCACGGTTTCCTTCCAAAGCAT